GTCAGTGATCCTCCTGCCAACCTCCTGAGTGCTGAGATTACAGGCACGCACACCACTTGGCTTTTGGTACTAATTTTAAAAATTTGATAATTTACCATATTTTTTCTATCATAGTCTTGAACAGAAAAAACAGCAACAGGGCATTGATAAAGCAGGTATCTGAGTGTGGGCCAGGGGTCATGGGATTGTTTGCTCTGGCTGCCATGTGATCTGTAATTAGTCAGGCTGTCAGTTATTGTCCAGCCCTCCACAAATGATGCGCTTCTCTCCTGCTCCTCGTTGGCACCCAGTTTCCACCCAGGACCTACAGGAAGTTGGCTGCTCTGTGGGCATTGGCTGAGGGAATGAATTTCATTTCCCATGACACACTACTCTAACAAATGCAGGTAAATTTTTCCACAAAGGGTTGGATGGTAAATTCCAGTTTTCTTTTTTATAGTACTGGGGATGGAACTCAGGGCCTTGCCCATGAAAGGCAAGGGCTCCACCACTCAGTCATGCCTCCAGTCCAGATAGCAAACATCTTTGGCTTTGTACATTGTAGCATCTTCAAAGTAACTACTCTACCTAGAACCCTGAATCTGGAAAGCACCCCAGAGGTCAAACAAGTGTGGAAGGGTGCTAATAAAACTTTATTTGGGCTGGGGATTTAGCTCAGTGGTTCTGTCGCCTGCCTGGCAAGCACAAGGACCTAAATTCAATCCCAGTACCAAAAAACAAGACAAAAACAAAAACTTTATTCTTGGCTGGGTGTGATAGTACCTCCTGCTGAGGCAGGAGGATCAACTCAAGTTCAAGACCTGTCTGGGCAACATAGTGAGTTCAAGGCCAGCCTCAACTACACAGTGAGACCCTGTCTCAAAACAACAAAATTAGTGATAACATTTTAATGTTTTGATTGAATATGTTGCTTTCTCGTAAAAATATGTATTTCTCTCTCCTCTCTCTCTCTCTCTTTTTTTTTTTTTAACCAGGGATTGAACTCTGAATGTTGTGGTTGCCAGTCTGGCACAAAGCTGCTGAGCTACATCCTGGGGCTTCTCCTTTTTGTTTGTTTTGTATTTTTGGTACCAGGGATCGAACTCAGGACCTTAAATTTGAAAGGCAGGCGCAGTGCCGCTGAGCTAAATCCCTGGCCCTGGGCTCTCTCCTTTTTTTCTTTTCTTCTCCTGCCTCCTCCCCAGAGATTGAACTCAGGGCTTTTGCACTGAGCTACATCCCCAGTCCTATTTTTATTTTGAAACAAGGTCTTATTAAATTGCTAAATTGCCTAGGCTGGGCTCTCTCAAACTTGTGATCCTCCTGCCTCAGCTTCCCAAAGTGCTGGGATTATAGGTGTGCACCACCACACCCAACTCAAAAATTCTTTTTTTTGGGTGGGGAGGTTGAGACAGGGTCTCACTATGTAATTGAGATTGACCTGAACTCACTGTGTAGCCTAAACTGGTCTCGAACTCACAGTGCTCCTCCTGCCTCAGCCTCCCAAGTGCTGGGATTACAGCATGCACCACCACGCCCAGCTCAAATTCCTCTTATTTTTTTATTTTTTTGGTACCGGGAAGCGAACTCATGTCCTTGCGCTTGCGAAGCAGGTGCCGCAACCACTGAACTAAATCCCTGGCCCCAACTCAAAAATTCTTAAAGAAATAAATGAACAGTACTGGAGTCAGACATACTCCTAGCCCCTTCACAGGCACAGCAATGTGCTGTGCATGCTCAAGGAAGCCATTGCCATCTCTCAGTCTCTGCCTGTAGGCTGCAAGGGTATGTGCTGGGCTGAGGGAGCAGGTTTGGGGAACACTGCTTCTTACACAGTTGTGCACATGGGGCGAGGCAGGATCATTCTGTCTCCAGAGGAGAAAGCTGAAAGTGGAAGATAAAACACCTGGCTGCATTGCCAGACCCAGGTCCCTGCCCTGCACTTTTGTGGGGGCTGAAGGACCCTTACCTCCTGGAGCTCCAACCACAGGGAGCCCTGCTTCAGAACTTGCCCTGCCCAGCTCTGAGGGTTCCTTCCTCTTGGGTCACTGCTCAGCAGTCCCAGCTGGCCCTTGGTGGCCCTATTTATAGGTGTTTATGGCCATGAGGGATGCTCCTGTGGTCACCCACAGAAAGGAGATGCTGGGCCGGGGATTTAGCTCAGTGGTGCTACCACCTGCCTCGCCAAGAGCAAGGTCCTGAGTTTGATCCCCAGTACCAAAAAAAAAAAAAAAGGGCAATTCCACTTCTGAGATTCCCCTGCTGTCTTAGTTACTTTTTTCCTTGCTGAGACTAAGTACCCAACACCCACAAGTTAAGGGAGAAAAGGTTTATTTAGCTCACAGTTTGTAGAGGTTTCAGTCCATAATCGGCTGGCTGCAAGGCAGAGGGCCATCGCAGAAGAGAAACAGTTCATGACAGACAGAAGGTAGCAAAGCAAGCAAGCAAGGGACCTTAGCAACGTCTTTCTGCCCCTTTTATGTTGTATTAAACTACCAAGTTTGGGCAGTACCACACCAATCAGTGAACTGACTTAGTAATCACTACATCACATTTTTTGATCCCAGCGTCACACACTCGATGCAGCCGCCTCTGAAAAAGCACCACCTGTGACTGACAGAGGTTTGGGTGGCCAGACACAACCATACACTTGCGTAGGTTCTGACTACCAGGGCAGTGGTAGAGTGCATGCCTGGTATGTGGAAGACCAGCACTTTCACTCCCAGCACCACAAAAAAGAAAAGAAAGGCACACTGGTAATCCCAACATTCTGAGAGGCCAAGCCAGGAGGATCCCCAGTCTGAGCCAAGCCTAAGCAATTCAGTGACTTTGTGTGAGAGACCCTGTCTCAAAATTTTTAAAAAAGGGGGCTGAGGATATAGTGCAGTGTGAAAGCCCTGGGGTCACTTCCCAGCACCAGAAAAGAAAGAAAAGGAAAGGAAACAGAACAAAAGAAAAAAAGAAAGAAATTACTGTGTTTTAGGTGTAACCTGCTGGGTGTGCACCAAGTGGCCCAAATAGAATTATTTATTTATTTCTGTATCTATTTTTGGGACAGCGTCTTGCTATGTAGTTCAGGCTGGCCTCGAACTCCTGGCAATCCTCCTGCCTCAGCTTCCAAAGTGCTGGGATGATAGGCGTGCGCCACCGTACCTGGCTCTGGCTGATAACTTGACTGCAGCCATATGAGGAGCTGTGGATGGAGGACTCTGCCCCACTTGACTGTGAGTAGACTCATGTCCCACAGACACTGAGATGACAAGCTTACATTTGCTAGTCTTTTGCTAGTACAATCTGCCTTCTCTCTTGGACTTTCAGGGCTTCTCTTCAAGCACTCTCTGTGTGTACCAGGCTCAGCAGGTGGTCCTGTCAGAGGGACAACAGAACCATAAAGAAATGCTTTCAGGGAGTGAAGTACCCAGAGGAGGCAAAGAGTTTGTGCAAAGGCCCAGGGGCTACAGGGTTTGGGTACCTGGTGTCCAGGCCTGGCTGTGAGTGGGGCTGTGACTCCAGCAGACATCTGGAAATGATGGAATCCTCCAGATACAGGAAGAAGCCAGGTGCCCCACTGCCTAGGAGGCTGTCTGTGTTCACACTCCGGCTCTGCAGCTCTCAGACCTTAGCTTCCCTGGCCCTCAGTTTCCCTGTGTGTTAAATGGGAGTAACATCAGGCCCCACCTGGGAAGCTGTGTAAAAGCACTTGGCAGAGATGGAGTGCTCAGGGCTCATGACCTGGCCCCAGGTGCCAATACGAAAGAGGAAGTCTCTCATATTAGAGCTGGGGAGGCAGACAGGGTGCTGCTGATCCAGAGCAGCTGCCCTGAGCTGGGGCAAAGTCTCAGTGCTGTCCATGCTTCCAGGACAAGACCCAAGTTCCTGACTTTCTGCGGAAGGACCCCTCTGGCACCGGGCCTGAGTCCCAATCAAGATCCTGGGGCTGCTGGGTGCTGTGGTGCACATCTGTATTCCTAGAACTCGGGAGGCTGAGGCAGGAGGATCACTGAGAGTTGTAGGAAAGCCTGGGCTACCAAGCACTGTCTTGGGGGGGGCAGGGATTTAACTTAGTGATTCACTACCTGCCTTGGTGCCTTTCAATTTTAGTGTATGTGCTGCCGAAGTGAGCACCTTGCTGCCTTTCAAATGCAAGGACCAAGCTGGGTGTGGTGGCGCACACCTGTAATCCTAGCACTCGGGAGGCTGAGGCAGGAGGATCGCTGTGAGTTAGAGACCAGCCTGGGCTACACAGTGAGTTCCAGGTCAGTCTCAACTATATAGTGAGACCCTGTCTCAAAAAACCAAAAAAAAGAAAAAAGAAAAGAAAGAAATCATAGCAAACGCAAGTACCCGATTTTGATCCCAGCTACAAAAAAACCCGAAACCAAAAACAAAACAAAACAAAAAACCCTGGGGTCACAGGTGACCCAGCAAGCAAGGTTGTGAGAAGTTCGAGGCAGCTTAATATAGTTCTAAAGTGGCGGTTGTGCTTTGTGTTTCAGTACTGGGGACTAAGCCCATGGCCTTTGCACTGCGGTGTATCTCCAGCCCGCACCTTTTAATTTTGTTTTTAAGACAGAGACTCCCTAAATCACTAAATTGTCCAGGCTGGGCTGGCAGTTCGTGTTCTATTCTCAAACTCCTGCCTCCACTCGCTTGACTTCTGGTATTGCTTGTAGCTTCCTCAGTATCCCCATCTCAAAAATGGGGATAACAGCCGAAACCACTGCAGCATACTCCAAGGGCACTTTGCAACAGTTCCCAGAGAACCGTCAGACTCTCCACACGGCTGCGAAACGGGAGCTTGCCACGGTGGTGAACCGGGAGAAGTGAGGCCCCTTAGTGCCAAGGTAGGGACTGGGGGTTGCTGATGCAGGGCGCAGACACGACCCCAGCCAGCCTCGCTCCGCCCTCAGCGCTAGCCGCCAGAGGCCGCTGGGCTGCCGCA